CTCGTCCATCCCTTTCCTCCCCCTCCTATCTCCTCCCTCCTCGTCTCTCTCTCTCTTTCTCTTCTCTCTCTCTCTCTCTCATCTCTCTCTATCCTTCTTCTTTTCCTTTCTCTTCTCTCTCTTCTCTCTCTCTCTCTCTTCTCTCCCCCTTCTCTCTCTCTCGCTTCTCTCTCTCTCCCCTCTCTCCTCTCTCTCTCTTCCCTTCTCTCTTCTCTCTCTCTCTGTCTCCCTCTCTCTCTCTCTCTCTCTCCTCCTCTCTCTCTCTCTCTCCTCTCTCTCTTTCCTCTCTCTCTCTCTCTCTCTCTCTCTCTCTCTCTCTCTCTCTCTCTCCTCTCTCTCTCTCTCTCTCTCTCTCTCTCTCTCTCTCTCTCTCTCTCTCTCTCTCCTCTTCTCTTCTCTCTCTCTTTCTCTCTCTCTCCTCTCTCTCTCTCTTCTCTCTCTTCTCTCTCTCTCTCCCTCTCTCTCTCTCTCTCTCTCCCCCCTCTCTCTCTCTCTCCCCCTCTCTCTCTCTCTCCCCTTCTCTCTCTCTCTCCCCCTCCTCCTCCCCCCCCTCCCTCCCCCCCCTCCCTCCCTCCCTCCCTCCCTCCCTCCCTCCTCTCTCTCCTCTTGCTTGCTCATGCTATCGACACTGATGCTTAGAATTGTCAGCGGGTAGGGTTCTGTACATTGGTCGTAAAAGAATGGCTTTTTGATACTCTTGATTTATGCATTAAGCGCCATGAATGCACCTGCCAATTATAATCTTGTATTGTTGTTATTGTGGTGCAGAAGTCATCAAAATATCGATGGATGATTTTGAAAAAATGCATATCTGCTGTGGTCTTTTTTTACAGTGCATCAAACATCTAAATCAAATATTTACATATCAGGCTGGATATTTTCTTTCAAAAAGGTATCGGCGATGGTGTATCGGCAATACATGTATGAGTATCGATATCATTTTAACTTGTCTTTAAGAATCAATGTATTGGAATCGCTTTAACCAATTTTCAAGTATTGATGCACAGACAGTTCTGTGTATCGATGCCCATCACTAATTACAGTAAGCCTTTACCACTTTCACTCGTGTGGAAAATGTCTTTTGTGAGTTTAGTCTTGAAAATAGATGGGCCAAGTGATCATTTGATAGACATTACCCCAAAAATATTAAGCATACTAGTAACACTGAATAAACTTTTAGTTGTTGATAATTTTTTCTTTCTGTTAATGAATGAGTGTAAGTAAGCATATTCATTATAGATATTTTTCTTCATTTCTTTTTCTTAAGTTTGTTTCCTAGATGACATATCTTGTGCTTCTTTGCAGGGCAGGAAATCTTCCTTCCTGAGCAATCAGCTGGGACTGGCAGGTAACGTATCCTCTGCCAAGGACGACAAAATCCTGCATTTGCTGGAAAACAAGGCTGGCATCATCATCTCAAAGTCTCTTAGGTGAGTGAGTGAACAATTTGATGATTGTTTTTGGAAAAGATCATTTGAGGAAGCTTGCTTACAGATCATGTGTGGCTTCTCTTGAGTACCTTGAGAGTGTTATTGCCAGGAGAGTGTTATTAATGTAAAAGTCTCTGCCTTCGTAGAGAAGCATTTTCTTACTGGTGCTTTTTGTTCTCAGGTTTCCTGTGGTATACCTAGGCAAGATGGATTACATTGCTGCATTTGTCAAGAATGTTGGCAGAGAAAGTCGTACCCTTAGGCGTGTTTATATTGTCTCAACATCAGAGGACTGCCAGTTGTCAGTGGATGGCTGCTCTGTTGGGGGACGTGCCTGTGAGATGCCCGTTGTGATTCATCCAGACTCAGGGATTAGTGTCCGTCTTCAGTGCACAGCCATGCTGCTAGGTCTGGCCAAACATCTATGCGTGTTCGACTTTGTGGATTTCCAGGTTGGACGTTATGTCAGTGCAGTGGTGGAGGATGAGCAGATGCATCTGATGCTGCCCATTGCTCCTCGCTCATCACAACAAACGTACAGGAAGGCGAGAGCTTACCAGCCCTCAGAAAGCACTGTCATCCGAGGGGAAGTGCCCTTCAAGCCCCCGCCCTTTCTGCCTGTCAGCCTGCCCACGGCTAATATCCCAAGTTACCTGTGGGATGCAGTGCTTGAAGAGAAGGACATCCTAGACGTGGTCCCATGTCTAAGAGACCCCCTGTCCAGAGTCAACCACAAAGAGAAGCTCTCTGCTCTCTTGCACTTAGAAGAGATTGCCATGACACAGCAGATGAGGCAGGTAAGTTGGAATTAAAATTGATATTGAAATTGACATTATTTCTTTAGCCAGTAGATATACATACATTGTTGTAAAGAGTTCTCTGTATGAAAATTATTGCAGTCTTCCGAGAGCTAAAATCTTTTATGAATTGACCTTGGTTACTAAAATTGATACATAAGGAGGTAACTGTAGATATCATCATATATGTTTATGAAATTGGATGTATGAGTTAAGAAGAACATGTTTTTTTTTTTTTATCAAGATAACAAAATACACAATAACAAATTTGTAAGTTATTCACAGATTTTGTTTTGGTCAGTTTTCACAATGGCTTATATTTGGTGTTCTCAAGATTTGACAATACTACAGGGAATTCCCTAAGGAAATACCTTTGTACTTTGATAAAAAGGATAATTTCTTACTTTTTTTACTTTTTAAAAGTTATGCAGTGTTAGAATTTTGTTGATATAAACGAATAGCTTATATATTCTGGCATATTCATGTAGTTTTATATCATCTGGAGTTTATTATCTTTGTTGTTATGTGCATAAGCCTAACATTAAAAACATGCAGACAACCTCTAGGACTTTTATGAGGACTGATAAAGAAAATCTATATATAATTTTTTTTTTATATAGATGCCCCTTCCCCAAAGTTCAGAATCCCTTACTAATAACAGTTTTGTGAATGGATGTGATTTTAATAGCATTCTAGTAATTCTTTTTTGAATAAGTACAACTCATTGTGTTTTTCTGTCCTGTGTGCACAATAAAGCTTTGGAATGATGTCCTAAAGGGCTTAACCTTTTACTGACGGGCACGGCTATAGCCATCATGGAAAACCAACCCATCCTGACGGGCATGTGTATACGCGTCATGACTTGCTTTAGTGAGCGAGTGGACAACGCCAGCTGTACGCATTGAATGCCCAACCAGAAAGGCTAGACAGTTGCCAGTAGTTACTGTAATGATTGCCTTACAGAAAATTCTGGCCATGTCAGTGTAGGGTTAATGGTGAAAGACTGGACTAAGGCTGATATTGCCAGTAGAAATTTTTAGAAAATAGAAAATTCAACAAATAGTAGGACTGTATGAATTGTTTATGTGTAGGCTAACATATTTCATATTATAAGATTATTTTTTAGTTTTAATTTTTATAGTTCAGTGTCTCCTTGTATTGTGAGAGTTTGATGCTGAACTGTGCTTCTGGATGTGAAAACCATTGAAAATATAAGTAATAATGGGGCTGAACTGATTTAGTAAAGATTATGTTCCATAGAAGAGAGAAAACGTAATGAAGTATAAGCATCAAATGTAAATATGTATGATTTTCTTTTTCTATTGATGAAAAATGCCCTGAGTATCAGATAATTTTTTTGTGTGTGTGTGTGTTGAAGATGTGCCTTTGCAGTGACTAATAGAATGAAAGTAGAATGTTTGAATTCAAAGTACCACCCTCCCTCAAAGAAAATTCTATATATGTAAATAAATAAGTCCAACAGATGCAAGTAAATATGTATAGATTGATAATTCCAAAGAGTCTTAATCAGAACACCATCATTATTAATCTATTCAGTGCATCTTTTTCCTTGACAGAAAAAAAGGGCATGAATATCATTCCTTGATCATCTGTATGTGCGTATGTATATCACTGCCTCTCACTGTCTTTCTGTCTGTTGGTCTGTCCCCTAAGCCCATCCTAGGCCTCTTCTTATAACCTTTCCCCTTGGCTTGTTAATCTTTCAGTTTGATATGGCCCGGTCAACCCTATCTCCCCGCGGCGAGTACCTGAGTCTGAGTGTGCCGGGCCTGGCTGAGAGACGGCCGTCCCTCATGGTAGGAGACACTGTCCTTGTCTCATCTCCGTGTGTCTCCCCAGGGGAGGGTGAGCTCCACTATGAGGGATATGTCCATGAGGTGTTACATACACAGGTGAGCTGGTGCTGGTTGGTTCACTGGTTCAGTATGGTTATTTTGATTTTTTTAAAAGTATAGAGGAAATGGTTCATTTAGGATTTGATGTTGGAAATATTCCAGGGGAGAGAAAGAAAGAACTGATATTGTATCTAGATAATGGGGCAGAAATGAGTGTATTTCTTTTCTACTTTGCCCATGCTTTAATATGCATAAATTGAGAATAAGCATGAACTTAGAGCACTAATGCGAAGGGCATCTTTGGCTACCACACTCAAAGGAGGACACAGCAGGCGGGGTTCAGCAAGCATAGGTATTGATGACCACAACGTAAAAGCTCGTGTCTGAGATAACAAATCATTTATTTATGAAATATTTCTTGAAGAGTACACTGCAGCATAGGGAGCTATTAATATGTGTCAAGTTGTTAGATCTAGAGAGAGTGAAAAAAAAGAAAAAAGATAAGTTGCACACCAAGACTGGATGGAGGACATGTCTGTCTTAATCTTTGTTAATAGACTTTTTTATGTGAAGAAGGCCATCACATTTAGGTTCTCTACAGGCTTGTTTTTGGAAAATAATAACTTGCAAGATATGACAGTCAAAATGAGTGTTAAATGTTACATGGAAACGTTGTTGGATAAAAGATAATTTGGCATATATAATAGCTCCCCAGCAATGTTTTATTTGAATTTTAAGTTTGATCAGTAATATCTTTATTAAAACCCTAATACTTAATGGCTCTCCTGATAGACTACAACATCCACTTTATGGTTCATCACAGTACCTAGGGTTAAACATGACATAAGCACTTCCCGGCATATCATAAATGTCCAGCAACTCTGAAGTATGAAATTAAAGGGATTCTTGATGGTAGCAAATGAACATTTTATGTTTATCATATACATCCCTTACAAGACAGACTCTTTGGTGTGTGCGTGTGTGTGTGTGTGTTCACTACTGAAAGCACATTTCAGCCCATCCTCGAAATCTAGAGGATAAAGTTTGATTTCAGATACGTTTTTCTTTTATTTTGTGCTATCAGTCACTCAGTTTTCCTTATGTAAACAACACTCACATGTCTTTGGCCTGCAGAAGCTTAGGAAAAACATACTTGTTTACGTATTGTTGAAATACTTTTTGTGTGTGTGTACAGCTGATTTGTAAAAAGGGTGTTCACATAGACCTTTGTATCTAGAGTTTTTAGATTTTTTATTTGAAGTTGGTGACTGCTGTGAGCAGATTTGAAATCATTAAAGAAAGTAAAAAAAAAAAAAAAAAAAAAAAAGGATGAACAGACAATCAGGAAATGCAAGAAAAAAATAATTCACAGTAGAAACTTGTTGGAATGTCCATTATTTTCTTGTTTTGTTATCTTAACCAAAATCGGAACCAAAATGGTTCGTTCCTTCCTCTTCCGCTTATCCTTCCTGAAGCCCCAGCAGGCCCTCAGACAGCTCTCAGACTCCCCAGTGAATCTCATGCTGCCTTAGCCTCGCAAATGAAGGAGGGGCCGACGTTACTCTCATTGTACTCAATCATGTAGAAGCGGTTATTGGCTCCAGAGGGCACGAGCATTCCGTACGTGCCAGTTGAATCGGGGTTGGGAGAGCTCATGTACCAGCTGCGTGTTGGAGTGGAAGGGTTGAGCCGTTAGGAAGCGAGTGTGGATATACAGCACACACAGCTGAGAGGTACTGGTGGTAATTCTAGACTTTGTGGTTGATCTGCTGCTTATAAAGGTAGTTTCTGAGAAGTAATTATTCCTGAAACCACTTGGAAAACTACAGTGGTGTCTTAAACAAAAATATACATAAATAGAAATAAGGGATACAAAGGTATTGCTCTTTTCTATTTATTTATTTATTATTATTATTATTATTATTATTATTATTATTATTATTATTATTATTATTATTATTATTATTATTATTATTATTATTATTATTATTATTATTTATTATTATTATTATTATTATTGTTTATTGTTATTATTATTGTTATCATTATCAACATTTATTATTATTATTATATCTTTTTGTTATTATTATTATTATTATTATTTTTTTCCTGGCGAGCAGTCTTTTAAGGGGTCTAAGATTATTTATGGTACTTCCCAGCTCAGAAATTATAGTGATATAAATCACAGTAAAGGGCATTTGTGACCAAAGGTGTTCTCGGACTAACGGCTGGAATATACCATTATTAAATGTTTTGCTTGTTTAAACTTTTGTTTATGACAAGTATCGATATGTTCATGTGAATACACTACAATTGTTGTGCACCAATGTGAAAGTATTTGTGCATATGTTATAGACGAAAGGTTGAACGAACAAACATTTAAGAAACACATTTTCGTTCAGATGGCCAGAGAACACTTTAGGACATGTATGCGCTCTTATGTGATTTACAGGGTCGAGCTCTGTGATGGAATGGCTCTTAAGTATCCCTTTTCTAAGGCAAAAGTAAAACCATATTCGAAAGTGGGAATATAAGTGAGAACATATACGGAAGCGAGATCGTCAGTAAGGATAGTTATTCAAGTATTTATAGAAGTATGTTTCAGGAGGAATTTGCAATTGTTAATATGTGAATTATGGGAGTTCTTTGTATATGGGTATACTTTGTTTCCGTATTATGGAGTGGTAATTTACCATTTTCCCTTATTGTATTGTTCAATTATACTTTTTTCTTTATGTGCTATTTGGTGTCCTTTGTTATTTGATGTTCTACTTTATACGTGCAAATCATACGTACAAATAGCCCATGGGGTCGATGGGGGAGGTGTCAGTCCACTGCCACACGCCGTTCACCTTGCTCCCGCCCGTCCAGAAGATGTAGCCAGTCATGCCTTCAGAGGGGAGTGGCAAGCAGAGGAGAGGGGAGAGAGGGAGGAGGTTAGCGAAAAGAGGGGAATGGTGAAAGGGGAGGCACGGAAAAAGGAGATGGGGAAGAGAGGGAGGAGAAAGGATGAGGAGAGTGGGAGGAGGAGGAGAAGAGGGAAAAGAGTGAATGAGGAGAAGAGGGAGGGAGGAGGAGAGAGGGAGAGAAGGAGGAGGGGAGAGTGAAGGATCAAGGTGAGTGAGAGGGACAGTGATGAAGAGAGTTGAAGAAGAAAGACGAGAGGGTTGGGAGAAGGAAGGAGAGGAAGAATGAGCAGGAAGAAAGGGAAGGGAAGGAGAGGAAGGACGGAGAGGTTGAGGAGAGGGAGAATTGGGATGGGGAAAGGAGAGAGGGGAGAAGGAGAGGGAATGTGGAAGATGAGTAAAGGAGGAAAGAGGGAGGGAGATACAGATTGATACATTTTTCGTATGTTTTCTTGTTGATTTATTATTTTCCACAGTTTATAGAGGTAGATTTTATTTTTATAAAGTGCAATCAGCGCTCGCTGCCACGTTAGATATGTGCAGGATTAAAGCCATTTTGTATTTTTAATGCATTTATATTCACGACATATGCAGATTCTCAGAAGAGATTAAGAACAATAGAAAAAAAGACGAGAATGATAAGAAAAAGGAAATCATAATCATCACCACCTACATGTTTATCCCTTTTTTCCTTATCATTTACGCTTCCGAAAGCCCCCCCCCCCCCCCCCAACGCTGGAATCACCTGGCTCACCTGGAATCTCGCTCACCTGGAATCTCGCTCACCTGGAATCTCGCTGACGATGTGCGCCGAGAATTCTCTGAGGAAGCCCTCGTCGACCTTGGCCAGCTCGGTGGTCCAGCCGGCCGTGGCCTTGGCGGCGCAGAGGTCCCTCGCCTCGGGCCAGAGCATGGGCGGGGCGCTGCCGGCGTAGTTTTCCGTGTAGATGTGCACGCAGCGGCCGTCCAGCGGGATGAAGTCGGCGGGGCAGCTGGGGGCGGCGGTGACGGCGGGGGCTGAGGGAGGGCGGGGAAGGGGGGGGGTGAGTCACGAGGCGGCTGGAGAGGGGCGTCGCGTGGGGATGGCTTACAGTGCGATTTGTACTGTAGGCTACACTCTCTCTCTGTCTCTCTCTCTCTGTCTGTCTGTCTCTCTCTCTCTCTCTCTCTCTCTCTCTCTCTCTTCTCTCTCTCTCTCTCTCTCTCTCTCTCTCTCTCTCTCTCTCTCTCTCTCTCTCTCTCTCTCTCTCCTCTCTCTCATTCTCTCTCTCTCTCTCTCTCTCTCTTCATCTCTCTCTCTTCTCTCTCTCTCTCTCTTCTCTCTCTCTCTCTCTCTCTCTCTCTCTCTCTCTCTCTCTCTCTCTCTCTCTCTCTCTCTCTCTTTCTCTTTCTCTCTCTTTCTTCTCTTCTCTCTCTCTTCTCCTCTCTCTCTCTCTCTCTCTCTCTCTCTCTCTCTCTCTCTCTCTCCTCTCTCTCTCTCTCTCTCTCTCTCTCTCTCTCTCTCTCTCTCTCTCTCTCTCTCTCTCTCTCTCTCTTTCTCTCTCTCTCTTCTCTCTCTCTCTCTCTCTCCTCTCTCTCTCTCTCTCTCTCTCTCTCTCTCTCTCTCTCTCTCTCTCTCTCTCTCTCTCTCTCTCTCTCCTCTCTCTCTCTCTCTCTCTCTCTCTCCTCTCTCTCTCTCTCTCTCTCTCTCTCTCTCTCTCTCTCTCTCTCTTCTCTCTCTCTCTCTCTCTCTCTCTCTCTCTCTCTCTCTCTCTCTCTCTCTCTCTCTCTCTCTCTCTCTCTCTCTCTCTCTCTCTCTCTCTCTCTCTCTCTCTCTCTCTCTCTCTCTCTCTTCTCTCTCTCCTCTCTCTCTCTCTCTCTGTCTCTGTCTCTCTCTCTCTGTCTCTGTCCCTCTCCCCCCCTGCCCCCCTCCCTCCCTCCCTCCCCTCTTCCCTCCCCATCTCACCCTCTCTCCCTCTCCCTCCCCCTACCCTCCCCCACCCCTCTCCTCCACTCTCTCTCCGCTCCACCCCTCTCCCTCCTTCCTTATCCCCTCTCCCTCCTTTCCTATCCCTCCATCCCTCCTTTCCTTATCCCTTCTCCCTCCTTTCCTTATCCCTCTCCCTCCTTTTCTTATCTCTCTCCCTCCTTTCCTTATCCCTCTCCCTCCTTTCCTTATCCCTCTCCCTCCTTTCCTTATCCCTCTCCCTCCTTTCCTTATCTCTCTCCCTCCTTTCCTTATCCCTCTCCCTCCTTTCCTTATCCCTCTCCTCCTCCTTCCCCTCTTTCCCTACTCCCTCCTTTCCTTATCCTCTCCCTCCTCCTTATCCCTCTCCCTCCTTTCCTTATCCCTCTCCTCCTTACCTTATCCCTCTCCCTCCTTCCTTATCCTCTCCCTCCTTTCCTTATCCCTCTCCCTTCCTTATTCCCCTCTCCCTCCTTTCCTTATCTCCCTTATCCCTACCTTTCCTTATCCCTCTCCCTCCTTTCCTTATCCCTCTCCCTCCTTTCCTTATCCCTCTCCCTCCTTTCCTCATCCCTCTCCCTCCTTCCCTCCTCCTTTCCTTATCTGTTTTCCCTCCTTTCCTTATCTGTCCCCCTTTTCCTTATCTGTTTCCCTCCTTTCCTTATCTGTTTCCCTCCTTTCCTTATCTGTTTCCCTCCTTTCCTTATCTGTTTCCCTCCTTTCCTTATCCCTCTCCCACCTTTCTCCATCCCTCTCCCTTCCCCCCTCTCATTCTCCCTCCCTCTCTGTTCCCCCTTCCCCTCTCTCACCTCGAGCCGTGAGCACGACCAGGAGGCCCAGGGCAGCGACGGTTCCTCTCATGGCGAAAGTTTCTAAGTTCCTCGCGAGTGCAGACCTGACGGGGAGAAGCTTCCTACTGGCGGAGAGAACGCCGACGAGGGCCCTTTTATGTCTGCGGGAACATCCGGGTTTTCGTGTCTTATCAGCTGTTTTTTGTTGTTGGAATTTGTTTATCAGCTGAGGTGACGTCTTGTTCATTCCGCGGGGGATTGTTTTTTTTTATCGGGTTGTTGTTTTCTCTTGGATTGAGGTGTTGTTTTTTGTTAATAGTGTTTTTTGTTGTTTCTGTTGGATCGAGTTGCTTTTGTTAATGTTTTTTTTTGTTTTTTTTGTTGGGATCAAGTTTTTTTATTAATGTTTTTTTTTTTGGATCAGATTTTTTTTGTTAATGTTTTTGTTTTTTCTGTTGGGATCGAGTTGCTTTTGTTAATATTGTTGTTTTTGTTTTTCTATTGGGATCAAGTTGTTTTTGTTAATGTTTTTATTATTGGGATCAGATTGTTTTTGTTAATGTTTTTGTTTTTTCTGTTGGGATCGAGTTGCTTTTGTTAATATTGTTGTTTTGTTTTTCTATTTGATCAAGTTTTTATTTATTTTTTTATTTTTTTATTTTTTACTAGGATCGAGTTGCTTTTGTTTATGTTTATGTTTTTGTTAATGTTGTTTTTGTTTTTTCTATTGGGATCAGATTGTTTTTGTTAATATTGTTTTTTTTTTTCTGTCGGATTGAATTGTTCTGTTGCTGTTGATGTTGATGTGAAATCTTTTGTTGTAGTTTATCGCTTCTGCTGCTGCTGTTTTTGCTGTTGTTGCTACTATTGCTGTTGGTGTTGTTATCGTTGCCTCTGCTGTTGTTATGACTGTTGGGAGGGTAGGTTTTGTTTCCGTTGCCGCTGTTGTTGTTGGGGAAACTTCTGTTGCCTCTGTTGTTTTAGTTGTTATGGTTTGCATAACTGGTGTTTTTTTTGCTGATGTTATTTTTAATTTTCAGGTTATTGCAATTGTTGCTTTTGGCTGTCTTGGAGTCTCGCTAAGATAAAAGAGATCGCTGCGTTGATTTTTTTTTTTTTTATCAATGAATGTTTTTGAACGTTTTTTATGGGGGGGGAGGGGGAGTGTTGATGTGAAAGGAGGAAAAGTGAGATGCGATTGAAAATAACCAAAGGAAAAAAAAAAGGGGGGAAGGAGGGATGGGGAGAAAGTCATAAGAAATAGGAATTACAAATTTATGAAACGGTAAGATTACAAGACGAAAAAATAAAAATGTTCAGAAGAAAAAAAAAATGGTTTTAGAAAGGAATGTAATGATGTCGTCAACGGAAATTGTTTAAAAAAATTATATTATCAAGGAAAGCTGTAAGAGTGGATAAACGACAGTGATTACGGGAAGTAAATAAACCGATTGAATGAATTAAAAGAAGAAAGAATAATTGACGTAACGAATGGATTTCCACCCGACGTTCCCCGAAAAGAGGAGGAAGGAGGAGGAGGAAGGAGAAGGAGGAAGGAGGAAGGAGGAAGGAGGAAGGAGGAAGAGGAAGAAGGAGGAAGAGGAAGAGGAAGGGAAGAGGAAGGAGGAAGGAGGAAGGAGGAAGGAGAGAAGGAGGAGAAGGAAGGAGAAGGAGGAAGAAGGAGGAGGAGAAGAAGGAGAAGGAGAAGAAGAGGAGAAGAAGGAGAAGAAGGAGGAGGAGAAGAAGGAGAAGAAGAGAAGAAGAAGAGAAGAAGAAGAAATGAAGGAGAAGAAGAAGGAGAAGAGGAAGGAGAAGGAGAAGGAGAAGGAGAAGGAGAAGGAGAAAGGAGAAATCATTGACGTAACGAATGGATTTCCACACGACGTTCCCCGAAAAGAAGAAGCAAGGAAAAAAAAATGTTTATCGGGGCGGGATTCCGCTTGCGAAATGGGACTTGGCCTTTCGCCCTCGGGATAGGCGGGCGGATTATGATAGAGGCGAGACGGGAAGCAGGGAGAGATGCGGCGAGGGAGGGAGGGAGGGAGAGAGAGGGAAGAGGGAAAGGGAGGGAGACAGGTAAGACGGGAGCAGGGAGGGAGACAGGTAGAAAGGGAGAGGGAGATGGACGGGAAGAGACGCGGAGACTGAGGGAGACGGGAGAGGGAGAGGGAGAAGAGATGGGGAGGGAGAGAGAGGGGATGGAGGGAAGGGGAGACTGGGGAGAGAGGGAAGAGGGAGATGGGGAGGGAGATGGAGGAGGGAGAGGGGGGAGAGGGGAGGGAGAGGGACGTAGAGGAGAGAGAGAGAAAGGAGAAAGAGAGAGAGAGTAGAAAGGAGAAGAGAGAGAGAGAGAAAGGAGAAAGAGAGTGAGAGAAAGGAGAAAGAGCAGAGAGAGAAAAGGAGAAACAGCAGAAGAGAACGCAGAGAAAAGGAGAAAGAGAGATTTTAAACGAATTTTTTTTAAAAGGAGAGAAGAAGAGAAGAGGACGAGAGAGAAAAGGAGAAAAGAGAGAGAGAAAGGGAGAAAGAGAGAGAGAAAGGGAGAGAGAGAAAGGGAGAAAGAGAGAAAGCGGAGAAAAGAGGGAGAAAGCGGACGAAAAGGAAGAAAGAGAGAAAACGGAAAAAGAGAAAGGGACAAGAGTGAGTTTCAGATTGTTTAAATCTTTCGTTTTATAGTATATTTTTTAGATTTACTATTTATTCTAGTTTTATCTGTATTTCCTCTTTTACCCCGCACGCCTTCTCTGTTTTCCTCAATTCCACCTTTATTGTTTTATGACGTTTCCCTATTTTTACTTCAGGTTTTCCTTTTTTCCTTTTTTCTAATTTTCTTTGGCTTTTTTGCCATCCTGTCTTCTTTTCTTCTGCTTCGCTATTTTTATTTTATTTTTAATATTTATCAATTATTGTCCATTTTTAGTAATAATTGTGTGTGACATTTTATAAGTGCGAATTTCATTTATTTATTTGTGTGTGTGTGTGTGTGTGTGGTGTGCTGGTGTGTGTGTGTGTGTGTGTGTGTGTGTGTGTGTGTGTGTGTGTGTGTGTCGTGTGTGTGCGCGCCGCGCATGTTTCGTGTGTAATGTTTGTAGTATGTGTTGTGGTGGATTTTTATCTCTACGTGAATGTCTGTTCCAGGTGCGCGTCTGTGCGTGCGTGCGTGTGTGTGCGTGCGTGTGTGTGCGTGCTTGTGTGTGCGTGCGTGTGTGTGCGTGCGTGTCGTGTGGCGTGCGTCTGTGCGTGGCCATTCCGGTGCGTGCGTGTGTGGTGCGTTGTGCGTGTGTGTGCGTGTGTTCCGGTGCCAGGCAAAATATCGCGCCGTAAATGAAGAAAGGCAGATTTACGGAAATTGCCCCTTGGCTTCTCTCTTTATTGTGGGCGATTATCTTGTGGCTGTTTTATGAGGGGATTGCGGGCGTGGAAACCTTCTTTTTGAGACGATAAGGATTCAGGGGGGTAAGGGGGAGGGGTTAGGGGGAGGGAGGGAGGGGGGGTGTTAGGTGGAGGGAGAGGGAGGGGGGGGAACTGGGTAGGCGGGAAGGGGGTGCCTCTGTGTGGTGCGCGTGTGCGTTTGTGTATGTGCTTGGATTGTCTTTTGTTTGGATGCATGCACGCGCAAACCCGTACAAGGGTATGCACGCACGTGTACATAGATACTAACATGCAGACGCACTCGCACGCACGCACGCACGCAACGCACGCAACGCACGCACGCACGCACGCACACACACACACACACACACACACACACACACACACACACACACACACACACACACACACACACACACACACACACACACACACACACACACACACTCACACACACACTCATTCACTCACTCACCACTCTCACTCACTCACTCACTCACTCACTCACTCACTCACTCACTCACTCACTCACTCACGCACTCACACTCACTCACTCACCACTCACTCACTCACTCACTCACTCACTCACACACACACACACACACACACACACACACACACACACACACACACACACACACACACACACACACACACACACACACACAACACACACACACACACGATTATCCAAGTGGCATTGTACTTGGGAAATGGAAATGGCCTTTCGATCGGTTCGGGGCATTATAGTGCTGTGTGACCTTGGATGACCTTGACCTAGCACATTTATTTCAGCCATTAAGCATTAAGCATGAGGTTCGGGGGAGAGAAAAATCCGACCCCTATATATATATATATATCTCCCGTGTTGGTTAGGAGTGTTAAAACACGCGGCAGACGTGTAGATTTAATATATAAGGTGGGTAGGGGGATGGGGGGGTGTAGGTGGGGAGCTTGAATATAATCATAAATCAAGTGATCATTATAAGTGAAAAAGGCCCATGAAATTATGATCATTATGTAGGGTGGGGGTTGGGTGTGTGGGTGGGGGGGGGGCTTGGAATATAATCATAAATCAAGTGATCGTTATGTAAGTGAAAAAAGGGCCCATAAAATGCTAGGCCGACTTGGAGAGGGCGTTCGGATACGTGGACGAAGATTTGCCGAAGATCAAGACGATTGCGACCACTACGAAATCTGACGGGAGGGCGATGCTGTGGTGTGGAGTCCTTACTTAAAGAAAAAAAAAAGGTTATGGATTGCACATCAACCGGAAAGAGTGAGTGCGAGAGAGAGTGGGAGAGGAGAGAGAGAGAGGGAGAGAGAGAGTAGAGAGGGGAGAGGAGAGGGAGAGGGAAGGGAGAGAGGAGAGAGGGAGAGAGGGAGAGAGGAGAGAGGGAGAGAGAGAGAGGGAGAGAAGGAGAGGAGAGAGAGAGAGGGAGAAAGAGAGAGGAGAGAAGAGAGAGGAGAGAAGAGAGAGGAGAAAGAGAGGGAGAGAGAAGAGAGAGGGAGAAAGAGAGAGGGAGAAAGAGAAGAGAAAGAGAGAGGAGAAAGAGAGAGGGAAAAGAGAAGGGAGAAAGAGAGAGGGAGAAAGAGAGAGGGAGAAAGAGAGAGGGAGAAAGAGAGAGGGAGGAGAGAGGGAGAAAGAGAGAGGAGAAAGAGAGAGGGAGAAAGAGAGAGGAGAGAGAGAGAGGAGAAAGAGAGAGGAGAAAGAGAGAGGAGAGGGGAAGAGGGAGAGGGAGAGGGAGAGGGAGAGGAGAGGGAGAGGGAGAAAGGAGCAAAACCGAGAGAACACGACACACGTAAGAATTGAAGAGTGTCGCCGAGGACGCCAAAAGACTCTTGGCTCAGGGAACAGTCTGCTCAGTTGAAGCGTCGTGGGACAAAACCTGTGCGTTTCTCCCCTTCCTGGAACGACAAGATAAGAACAACACGTTAAGACAGAGACGTGAGGTGGGTCAGGGTTGGTAGGAAAAATGTGGATGTATATCCCTTTATATATATTTACAAGTACATTTAGATATATTTTTGTATGTGTATATAAATACATTATATATATGTATGTATGTAAGCACGCACGCACACAGCGTACGGACAAAAAAACAAACGGGACAAAATCATTTTCTACTTTTTTGTATATGTTTTGTTCTTGATTTTTAGAAATGATTCCTCCCTTCCCTTCTTTCAGGGTCATCACTACATTTATCAATAGATTCATCAATAAATTTATTTAAAAGATTCATAAAGAAAGTCTTGAAAAATAACAATACATTCATCGGTAGTTCCATCAACAAATTCAGCAATAAATTTATCACTAAATTCAATAATGAATTTATCAATAAATTCAACAATAAATTTATTACTAAATTCAATAATGAATTTATCGATAAATTCAACAATAAATTTATCAAGTTAAAACTATCAAGCAAATCACAACAAATTGACAATAGATTCATCAATAATTCCATCAATAAATTCCTCAATAGATTCACCAGGAGATTACATTAAGGAAGTCATCAAAAATCAACGATAAATTCATCAGTGAGTCCACCAATTAATTAATCAGTAATTCAATTTATCAGCGAATTCATCATTGAATTTATCAACGAATTCATCAGTAATTCCGAAATTCCCTCAAAAATATTCGTCAATCCCCCCCCCCCCGCACCCCACTGAATTTAATGATTAATGATGTTAATGTTGATTACTGTTAATGATTAAGTTAATGATGTTAATTAAAACGGGCAGGGTGACGGGCCTCTTACAGGGGGGAGGGGGGGGGGTTAGTGTAGGTCTCTTGTGCTGTGGTTTTGTAAACCTTAAGTATTATCTATCTATTGCTGTATTATCAATCATTATCATTATCATTATCATTATCCATTATCATTTCATTATCATTATATCATATCATTATTCATTATCATATAATCATTATTCATTTCATTATTTTTTGTTTATTTGTATGGTTTCTTTCTTTCTTCCTTATTTATTCGGTAGGCTTAAACAGAATAAGGTATAAGAAATACACGAGGGATCATTATTGAAATTATATTGAACATCAGTAATGATTGTAATTAGATATTTACAGTTACATGCATAAATACTCTCTCTCTCGCTCTCTCGCTCTCTCGCTCTCTCTCTCGCTCTCTCTCTCGCTCTCTCTCTCGCTTTCTTCGTCTACTTCTCTTCCTCTACCTCGTCTACCTCTCTCCCTCTCTCCCTAGCCTCTTTCTCTCATTCTCTCCTCTCTCCCCCTCTCTCCCTCTCCCTCTCTCCCTTCCCCCCCTCTCTCTCTCTCCCTCTCTCACTCTCCCCTTTTCCCCCTCTCCCATCCCAGACCAAACAAAAATTTCCAGCCCCCCTCCTCCTCCTCCCCCCCCTCTACGCCCGGCGCCTGGCCTCGCACAGCGCCGACGGCCCGACGCTGCTGACGGCGTAGGGCGTGAGGTAGAAGCGGAGCTGGTGCAGGCTCGCGGGCACCAGCATGCCATAGGATGTGGTGGTCGGGGGGCGGCGGCGGGAGGGGTGGTGCATGTGCATCTGTAGGCGGGGAGGGTGAGGGGTGAGGGGGGGGGGGGGTGAGGAGGGTGAGGGGAAGGGATGGGAGGATGGGGGGAAGGGAAAGGGATGGGGGGAGGATGGGGGAAGGGGGGGTGAGGGAAGGAGGGTGAGGGGGTGAGGAGGGGTGAGGGAAGGGATGGGGGAGGATGGGGGTGAGGGAGGGGTGAGGGGGAGGGGGAAGGGGGAAGGGAAGGGATGGAGGGGGGAGGGGAAAGGAGGAGGGGAGGGATGGGAAAGGGGAGGGGAGGAAGGGTCGTGAGGGGATGGGGGTGAAGGAGGAAGGGTGGAAGGGGGGAAGGAGGGAGAGAGGGGGGGAAGGGGGAGGAGGGAGGAGGATTAGAAAGGAAGGGGAAGGAGAGGGGGAGGGAGAGAGGTGAGGATGGGGGAAGGGTGAGGGGGTGAGGGGAGGAAGGACGGGGACGAGGGAGAACGGAGGAGGGGGAGGAAGGGATGGGACCGAAGGGAGGGCGATGGGAAGGGGAGAGAGGTAGGTAGAGGGTTTTTGGAATGGAATAACTTTCTCATTTACACGTTTTTGTTTTATTACACCATCATTATCATTATCATTATCATTATCATTACCACCATCGTTCATTATCATTATCATTATCATTATCATTATCATTATCATTATCATTATCATATCATTTCATTATCATTATCATTATCATTATCATTATCATTATCATTATCATTATATTATATTATCATATCATTATCATTATCATTATCATTATATTATCATTATCATTATCATTATCATTATCATTAAATTCGCTTCCCCAGCGTCGGGGGGGCGTGGCACTTACAAGTAGCCGAGGGGGTCGATGGGCGTGCCGTCCAGCGCCTGCCACTCGCCGTCCACCTTGCGCGCGCCCGCCCAGAAGACGTAGGTGCTCATGCCTCGTGGCGGAGGGAGGGAGACACGTGTGAGATTGGCTCAAAGGGCGGGCTTGTGAGGAGGTCAGGTCAGGTCAAGCCGTCCGGGTTTGGCTGTGGTTGAGATGTGTTTGGGGGGGGGGCTGTGTGTGTGTGTGTGTGTGTGTGTGTGTGTGTGTGTGTGTGTGTGTGTTGTGTTGTGTGTGTGTGTGTGTGTGTGTGTGTCTGTGTGTCTGTGTGTCTGTCTGTCTGTCTGTCTGTCTGTCTGTCTGTCTGTCTCTCTGTCTGTCTGTCTGTGTCTGCCTGTCTGTCTACCTGTCTGTGGGTGCCTGTTTATCGCACTTCGTTTATATCTGTTGGTCTGTCTTGGTCTGTGTCGGTTACTTGACTTTTGTCTGTATTTGTTACTGTCTATGTCTGTCTGTTTCAGGCTGTCAGCATCCCCGTATATATATATATAAATGCAGACTATCAGTTAGTGGTTCTGAGCTACATTTGGCGCCTCCCCAAATGCCATGCAACTGCCCCTCCCTGCCTAGCCCTGCCTTGGCTTGCCTTGGCTTGCCTTGTCCTGTCCTGCCCTTCTCTTTCTTTCCCTTCCCTGTCCCTTTCCTTCCTTTCTTTCCTTCCCTTCCCTTCTCTTCTTTCCTTCCCTTCCCTTCCCTTCTTTTCTTCCCTTCCCTTCCCTTCTCTTTCCTTCCCTTCCCTTCCCTCCCTTCCCTCCCTCCTCCCTCCCCTCCCCAACCCCCTCCCCCTCCGAGTCCTCACCAGGGAATGTGCCTTCCTGATGAAGTCCGTGAAGGCGGCGAGCAGCGGGAGGTCCACGCTGCCAGGTCGGGGCGCCCACTCCCGCGGCCATGGCCCGCACCTTTCCCCTTCCTTCCTTTCCTTTCTTTCCCTTCCCTTCCCTCCTTCCCTCCTCCCTCCTCCCCCCAACCCCCTCCCTCCCCTCCTACCTTCCTTCCCTCCTCCCTCCTCCCCCCTCCCCCCCCCCCTCCGAGTCCTCACCGGGAATGTGCTTCCTGATGAAGTCCGTGAAGGCGGCGAGCAGCGGGAGGTCCACGCTGGCCAGGTCGGCGGCCCACTCCCCGGCGGCCATGGCCCTGCACCTTCCCTTCCTTTCCTTTCCTTTCGCCTCCTTCCTTCCCTCCGCTCCCTCCTCCCTCCTCCCTCCCAACCCCCTCCCCTCCCTCTACCTTCCCTCCCTCCTCCCTCCTCCCCCCCAACCCCCTCCGAGTCCTCACGGAATTGTTTCTCAGTCCGTGAGTCCACGCTGCCAGGTCGGCGGCCCAAGCCTTTCCTTCCTTTCCTTTCCTTTCCTTTCCTTTCCTTCTTTCCCTTCCCTTCCTCCTTCCCTCCTCCTCCCTCCCAACCCCCTCCCCTCCCCTCCTACCTTCCCTTCCCTCCTCCCTCCCCCCCCCCCTCCGAGTCCTCACCGGAATGTGCTTCCTGATGAAGTCGTGAAGGCGGCGAGCAGCGGGAGTCCACGCTGCCAGGTCGGCGGCCCACTCATGGCCCTGGTCCTCACGCTTCTGATGAATGAAGCGCGAGCAGCGGCCGCCAGGTCGGCGCCCACTCCCCGGCGCCATGGCCCTGCACCGCTCCCGCGCTCGGCCCACGGCAGCGGCTTGCTCGACCCCGGTACGTGTCGGTCGTGACACGTTGAGGCAGCGGCCCGACAGCAGCACGAAGTTCTCGGGGCCTGGTGTGGCCTGGAAGGTACGGGGTGGGATGGAAGGTGGGGGTGGAGGGGGGAGAAGAGGGGAAGGGCGTGTGAGTGGAGGAGGTTGGGAAAACCGGAACGACGAAGGAAGAACAAGAAAACGCACGAATAGGCCTTTCTTTTTCTTTCCTCGTCGTTCCCGCTGCAGTTCGTCGATAAGAAAAAACTCAGCACAATAAACAGACAAGCCACGACTTGACTAATGTCACAAGAGCCTGTCACAGCAAAGCCTAAATTATTATTTACTCACACTCACACTCACACTCACACTCCACACTCACTCACTCACTCACTCACTCACTCCACTCACTCACCACTCACTCACTCACTCACTCACTCACTCACTCACTCACACACACACACACACACACACACACACACACACACACACACACACACACACACACACACACACACACCACACTCACACACACACACACACACAGACACACGACACACGGACACACGGACACACGGACACACGACACACGGACACACAGACACACACACACACACACACACAACACACACACACACACGGACACACGGACACACGGACACACGACACACACACACACACACACACACACACACACACCACACACACACACACACACACACACACACCACACACACACACACACACACACACACACACACACACACACACACACACACACACACACACTACACCCACACAAGAAAACCAGCAGTTGCTCACCGCAGACGTCGCCGCAGACGCCAGACGCGGCGCGGCGAGCAGGCCCAGGAGGACGGCGGAAATCTTGGCCATTTCAGCGACGGGGACGCGAGGGCGAGCGTTGCAGGGTCTCCGGCAGTGCAATTGAGTGTCTTCGGCGGGGAATCGGGCTTTTAAATGCGTTGCGTTGTGTGGGGGTGTGGGGGGGGTGGGTATGGGGTGGGTATGTGGGGGGGGAGGGCTTACGAGTTCTGGATTAGCGTCGCTTTGGAGGGATGACGTCGGTGTCTTATCTCGCGGCCCCGGCGGGAAATTCGTGGAGGAAGAGCTTTGCTAATGGGGCGGCGTTATCTGGATGAGATAAGGGAGAGGAAACGCCCAAGTGTTTTTTAGGGATTTTTCCGTGACCGATCATTTCCTTTTTTTTTGCCCTATTTCACCCCAAAGAAGCAGGGTTTCCTCTCCCGCTCAGCGCATCCCTCCTCCCCTCTCCTCGGAGGGGAGGAGTCCGGCGACGCAGCCTCCGAGGAAGAGGTTCCTTGGAGAAGCCCTTGAGGCCAGGGTCTTCGCACGGGCTGACCTGCGTCCTTTCCCCGCAGGTGCTGCTGAAGTTCCACCCGACGTTCCACCAGCTGTACCGGGGCGAGGACTACGCCATCCAGTTCAGGTTCAACCGCACGCCCCTCCGTCGGTGCCACTTCGCCCTCGACTTCGCCATGAAGCAGCTCGGCCCCGACGTCCTCTTCCCCACCAAGCTGAGGCTCCAGCTGCCGCAGGTGTCGTACGTGGACCTCGAGGTTCCCACTTGCGTGTACCGGCGGAGGGGGGGGAGGACTCCGCCCGAGGGGGAGGAGGCTCCTGCGTCTAGCGTGGGGGAGGGGGCCACCGGAGGGCCATTCAGCGGCGGAACCTCTCCTCCTTGTCCCTCGGGAGAGAGCCTGGGCGGTGCTGAGGATCGTCGAGGAGGACGAGGACTGGAGGAGGAGAGCAGGAAGGAGTTTGAGGAAGAGCAGACGAAGAGCAGGGGTGGGTCCTGTGAAAGCAACGGCATCCGAGACGAAGGGGAGGGCGGCGGCGCAGAAACTGAAGTTCCTAGTGGTTTTAAGGACGGTGACGACGACGACGAGGACGTCGTGATTGAGGAGGAGTGCGAGGCGGAGGAGGCGGATCGTGTGTGCTGTTCCTCTAGTGATCCCCCACTCCTCGGCGGCAAGGGATTGGGATCGAGTGGCGTTCCTGCAGACGGAGCCACAGACGTGGGCAAGCAGCCAGGCTGCGATGCGACCCCGGACGCTGATTCCGTGTGCAGGGACGCCGGCCGAGGGTGGAGGGCAGCGCAGGGCGGCGCCGCCACCCCCGAGCCCAAGCACACGCCGCCGAGGATCCCCGTGGTGACGCGCCTCTTCGGCGTCCCCTCCTCCGGCTCCAGCTCCAACTCCTCCAAGTCCTTCAGCGACGACGAGGCGAGAGAGCTCGGGGGCGAGGGAGGCAGGCACGGCGCCAGGACGAAGACGAGGGAGGCGAACGGCGCCTGCCTCTTCCCCGGGCCTGCCGATGCGGGAAGGTGGAATGGCTTCGCGGGCGTCGCCACTCTCTCGCCGGGACCAACTTCGGCTAAAGGAAGAGGAGGAGGAGGAGGAGAGCACGGCGAGGCGGCGCTTGGAGGCGGAGGCGCAGCAGAAGGTGACGCAGGAGAGAATGAAAGGGGCGGAGACGGCGCCGTTTGCTGCCAAACCGAAGCGAGGAAACCGGATGACGGTTCAGTGGCGTCGGACGGAAGGCCCTTTTGGAATCATACGCCCTCGAGGTCACTGAAGATGAGTCAGACGCTGCTGCTGATGGGGCTGCAAGGCAACAGGCACGGCGAGAGGAAGCGGAGGAGGAGGTCGCAGAGGTCCGACCACGCCGCAGGAGAGGGCGCGAAGGATTCGAGGCCCGTCCCCCACGCCAGCCCGAAACAGGACCCCGAGCCCGCGGGGAACGCGAGAGGGAGCCGTTTGCAGGCGCCGCCGGGCGCGCTTTCCTTGACTTCTGCCCTCCAGGGACGCGAGGGAGGGCAGGCTGCGCGCGCCCCGGCCTGCAACGGCGTGGAGCAGGCAGCGTCTGCGTCCGTCCAGAATGCGTCTGGCGCCACAAGGCTGCCAGGGCGACCTGTCGAAGGCAGGGGGCGCCCCAGCGCGGACGCAGGCGGCGCAGAAGACGGCTACTGCATTCCCGTCCTCCCCATCAACTCCCTGAGGAGGAAGGGTAGGAGTGTCTCGTGTAGGAGTGTGATGCATTTCGTCATTCTGATTAATGCTTTTCATTAAAATTTCGTGTATTTGATTGTCACAAAAGAAACTAACTGTTATTCGGAAATTCCAGTTTCATGGAAGTTCCTTTGATTTTAACGATTATTTTTTTTACACATGATTCTGACCCCCCCCCCCTTCTGCCCCTCTCCCCTAGGTCGAGCGCCCCCCTCCCAGCTGCCGACGCTGCGCTGGGCCAACAGGCAGCTGAACGCGGAGCAGAAGCTGGCCGTGCGGAGGGTGCTGGAGGGCAGCACGCGGCCCCTGCCCTACGTCATCTACGGGCCGCCGGGCACGGGCAAGACGGTCACGCTGGTGGAGGCGGCGCTGCAGGTGCTCTCCATGGTGGCGCACAGCAGGTGAGGGGCCGCGTGGGGAGGAGGTGGGGGGAGGAGGAGAAGGGGAGGAAGGAGGAGGATGGGGGAGGAGGATGGGAGGAAGGGAGGAGGGGGGAGGAGGGGAGGGGAGGGAGGGGGGGGGGAGGAGGGGAGGGGAAGGGGGAGGAGGGGAGGAGAATGGGGGAGGGAATGGGGGTAGGGAAGGAGGCACATGCGAAAACTCCTTTCTGCGTCCTAGGGTATTTTGCTGAATCAGTATCAAGATTTCCATCCTATCTTTAACAGGTATGTTTCTAGGATTCCATTATCGCATTTTTCGAATGTGTCTACCGTTCCACTGTACCTTTCAACTCTTTCCATTTATCCAACTGACATTCCAAGCTTCGACCATTTCCGGCACGCCATTCGATCACTAAAGCCCCACCAGATTTCGAATCAGCTGTTGTTTCCAGTTATGTATAAATATTTATATATTAATTCGTTTATTTGTTGAGTTTAGTAATAGGTTTATTTATTTGTGTAATTATGTTTATTTATTTGATTGACTGACTGATTAACTATTTATTTATTTATTTCATTTATCTATGTCTATTTACGTATTTGTATATTTGTATTTATTTATGTATTTATGATTATCCTCCTCTCTCTCTCTCTCTCTCTCTCTTCTCTCTCTCTCTCTCTCTCTCTCTCTCTCTCTCTCTCTCTCTCTCTCTCTCCTCTCTCTCTCTCTCTCTCTCTCCCTCTCCCTCTCTCTCTCTCTCTCTCTCTCTCTCTCTCTCTCTCTCTCTCTCTCTCTCTCTCTCTCTCTCTCTCTATATATATATATATACATATACATATACATATACATATATCATATATACATATACATATACATATAATATACATATATATACATATACATATACATATACATATATCTAACCTCGTTATTTCCGCACCCAAGGCTGGTGATCGTGACGCCGTCGAACAGCGCCTCGGACCTCGTGGCGGAGCGGCTGCTGGCGTCGGGGCGCCTCGGCCACGCGACCTCGTCAGCTCAACCCCTTCCACGTAAGCCCTCTCGCCCTCTCGGAGGCCTCTCGGGACGCCCTCTCGGGGGACGCCCTCTCGGGGACGCCCTCCGGGGACGCCCTCTCGGGACGCCCTCTCGGGGTCGGGGCGGGGCCTCTCGGGGATGCCCTCTCTCGGGACGCCCTCTCGGGGACGCCCTCTCGGACGCCCTCTCGCGCGGACGCCCTCTCGGGGACCCCTCTCGGGGACGCCCTCTCGGGACGCCCTCTCGGACTCCTCTCCGGGACGCCCCTCTGCCCTCTCGGACGCCCTCTCCGGGCGCCCTCTCGGGGACGCCCTCTCGGGACGCCCTCTCGGGACGCCCTCTGGACGGGCCCTCTCGGGGACGCCCCTCTCTCGGGACGCCCTCTCGGGGACGCCCTCTCGGGGACGCCCTCTCTGGACGCCCTCTCTGGGACGCCCTCTCTGGGACGCCCTCTGGGACGCCCTCTCTCTCGGGGACGCCCTCTCGGACGCCCTCTCTCGGGGACGCCCTCTCTCTCTCGGGGAGCCCTCTCGGGACGCCCTCTCGGGGACGCCCTCTCGGACGCCCTCTCTCTCTGGGACCCTCTCTGGACGGGGACCCTCTCTGGGACCCCCTCTCTCGGACGCCCTCTCGGGGAGCCCTTCTGGGACGCCCTCTCGGGGACGCCCTCTCGGATCTCGGGGACGCCCTCTCGGGACGGCCTTGCTCCGAGAGGCGTCCTTCGCTGTGAAGTTTTTAGCCCTTGCTTATTGATTGGTATTTAGGAGGGTTGTGATTGACTATTTGTTTGTATTTATGGAGGTAATATTTGATCAGTTATTGGTATTTAGTGGGTTATATTTGCTCGGTTATTAGAATTGAGCGGGTGTATCACTGTTTCAGAAACTATAAACAAATATATCCTGTATATGAACTTAATTACTATTTTGTGGTTTGCTTTTGCTGGATTAGACTGTTAGGTATGTCCTGTATTTTAACTTTTGTGCATTTTAACCGTCATTGTAGTGTTAGGATTTTTTTTGTTTTGTTTTCCCATCTCCCCAACATGCCTTTTCCCACATGATATCCCTCCCAACATGACCTCCCGCCCCTAACATGCCCTCTTTACCAACATGACCTCCCTTACCCACCATGACTTTCCTCCTCCAACTGCCCCTCTTTTCCCAAATGACCTTTCCACCATGTCCTTCCTCCCCCCATGACCTCCCTCCCACCTCCTTCCACCATGACCTCCCTCCCAATGACCTCCTTTCCACCACCTCCCTCCCATTGACCTCCTTTCCACCTCTTCCTCCCCCACCATGACCTCCCTCCCAATTGACCTCCTTTCCACCATGTCCTCCTCCGACCTCCTTTCCACCGTGTCCTCCCTCCCAATTGACCTCCTTTCCACCGTGACCTCTCTCCCTCCCCCGGCAGAGGCAGGAGGAGGGCGTGCCCGAGGCCCTCCGCCCCTTCAGCTGCAACGGCGACGACCTGGCCGTGCGTGTCCGCCAGCGCGTCGTCGTGACCACAGCGGCGACGTCGGGGCTGCTGTACACCCTGGGGCTGCACGGAGGCCACTTCAGCCACGTGTTCGTCGACGAGGCGGGCCAGCTGACCGAGCCCGAGTGCCTGCTGGCGCTGGGGTGAGGGCATCTCTTCTCTCTCTCTCTCTCTCTCTCTCTCTCTCTCTCTCTCTCTCTCTCTCTCTCTCTCTCTCTCTCTCTCTCCTCTCTCTCTCCTCTCTCTCTCTCTCTCTCTCTCTCTCTCTCTTCGGTCTTTCTATGTCTGTGTGCGTGTGTGTGGGGGGAGGGGGTGATGAACTATCCAGTTTTTTAGGGGGTGAAATAGTGTTTTTATTGTAGATTTTACTTGTAATATTTACAACCCTTTTAGCCTCTTTTTTTTTTTTTTTTTTTTTTACCTTTTTGCTAACGAATCCCCCGCGCCTTCCAGCCTCGTGAACAGGTGTCGGGCCAGATCGTGGTGGCGGGCGACCCCGAGCAGCTGGGCCCCGTCGTGCACAGCGCCGCCGCCAGGAGGTTCGGCCTCGACCTGTCCTTCCTGCACAGGCTCTGCGGCTCCGTCCTCTACCAGGTGAGGGGGAGGTGGGGGGAGGGGGGAGGTGGGGGGAGTAGGAGAGAGGAGTGGGAAGGGAGGAGTGGGGAGGAGGTGGAGTGGGGGGGGGGGAGGAGTGGGGAGTGGGGGAGGGAGTGGGGAGGGGAGGATGGGAGGGGAAGGGGGTGGAGGGGGAGTGGATGGGGAGGAGGGAGGAGGTGGGAGAAGGGAGGGTGGGAGTGGGAGTGGGAGGGAGGGTGGGCGTGAGAGTGAGGGGTGAGAGGGGTGAGGAGAGGTGATGAGGGGGTGAGTGTGTCCATATCTATTTAATCTATATAGGCATCTACCCATATCTATATCTCTATATATTATTGATATATGTATATATATTATATTGATCTAAAATCCTACTAAGCTTACGGTATATATATTTTTTTATATACATAGAAGAACCAGTTAATTATAACTACACTCAAGAGCTTAGCGTCTACACAACCAACAACAACCTTTTTCAAACAACCATAATTGAATAATCCAGATCGTGTCCAACCGCCCCCCCCAACCCTCTCCCCCAGGCCCAGCGGATGGACGACCTCTCCTGGGTGTACGAGCCCCACCTGGTGACGCAGCTGTGCAGGAACTACCGCTCCCACCCGGACATCCTGGCCGTCCCCTCCAGACTCTTCTACCACGACAGCCTCGCCGCCCACGCCGACCGGGAGGTGAGGCGGGAGGGAGGGAGGGAGGGAGGTGTGTGAGGCAGGGAGGAGAGGGAAAGGGAGAGAGGAGAGACGGGAAAAATATGTAGTGTGTGTGTGTGTGTGTGTGTGTGTGTGTGTTGTGTGTGTGTGTGTGTGGTGTGTGTGGTGTGTGTGTGGTGTGTGTGTGTGAGAGAGAAGAAGAGAGAGAAGAGAAGAGAAGAGAGAGAGAGAAGAGAGAGAGAGAGAAGAGAGAGAGAGAGAGAGAGAGAGATACAGGTGGCGGGGGAAGAGAGTGTATAAGAAATAGGGAGAAAGGGGAGAAGAGAGGAGAGGGAATAATAGGTAATGGTAACCCTGATAATGATAGTGACAAAGATAATGATCATGTCAAATTATAATAATAAAGACACTAATGAAAATGATAAACATTAATAACGAAAAAAAATCCAGCTACAAACCACTCACGTCTACCATTTCTAAACGCCCCCCACCCCCCATCCGCCCGTTCCCACGCCCACAGAAGCGAGAGGGCGTGCTCGGTGGTCGGAGCTGCCGAACCCCTCGTGCCCGCTGCTCTTCCACGGCCTGGTGAGCGACAAACTGCCAGGAGGGGGACTCGCCCTCGTGGTTCAACCCCGCCGAGGCCTTCCAGGTGAGCTAGGGGTGGGTGGGGAGAAGAGGAGGAGGAGGAAGGAGGAGGAGGGGAGGAAGGAGGGAAGAAGGGAGAAGGAGGAAAGAGGGAGAGGATAGGAAGAAGGGGAGGGGGAGGGGAGGATAGGGGAGGGGAGAAGGAGGGTGAGAAGGGGAGGGGGAGAAGAGGAGGAAAGGGAGGGGAGGATAGGGGAAAAAGGAGAAGGAGGGGAAGGATGAAGGGAGGGGGAAAGGAGGGAAGGAAAGGGAAGGGAGGGGGAGAGGAAAGGGGAGAGAGGAAAAGGAGGAAGGGGAAGGTATGAAGGGAGGAGAAGGAGGAGAAGGATAGGCGGAAGGGAGAGGGAAGGGTGAGGGAAGGGGAAGAAAGGGAAGATTAAGATTAAGATTAAGATAAAGATTTAGTTCTAATTCCATTTGTTACAATGGATATTCTTTGCTGTGACATACTGTCTGTTTTATTTTGCCCAAATCTCCCCGTGGCAAGGAGTGGCCGGGGTTACCACTCACTGGGGGGGGGGCGTTGGATGAACGAGGTCCGCAAGATTGCTAACCAGCACCTTACCGCTGCGCCAGCAGCGGTAAGGTGCTGGAGGGTAAGGAGGGAAAAGGGGAGTTTAGGGAGGAAGTAGAGGAAGAGGAGGAGGGGCAGATCTAGTTCTTACTCTTTTTTCTGGTCATCACTTGGTCATCATTATAATTATCACCTTTTCTTCCCTTTCCCCTTTCTCTTTTGGTTTATCGCTTATCATGTGCTGTTGCTTTTGACAAGAAATGTATATTGTTTTCTTTTGACGGACTGTTTTTTTTCTCTTTTAATTCATTAGTTTACTTGGTGTTTTTTGTTTTCTTTTTGAGAAAATTAGTTGCGTTTTGTTCTTTTTTAATTACCTTATTAAAAATATATTTTTGTTCTGGTGTAACTATAGCACTATCTTCGTTTTTTTAAATATCTTGTGCTGGATATTTTTTTCTTGTGTTATTTTTTAAAATATGTTGCGACGTGTCACGTAGATTCGTTTCGCTTATTTTCTTTTATTTATTGTTTTTCTTCTCTTGAAACTATAGCGTTTCGATGGTATTCTCATTTTCATTTTTGGTCTTTTGGCAAAGTGGTTTTCCTGAAGCAACATGACATTCTCTCTCCCTTTCTTCCTCTTTATATGGTGGTCACTCGCTTTTTCTGGTGTTAGTGAACTCTATTTTTGTTCTTCATGTATTATTAGCGAGATTTCTTCTTGTCGTTTTCTCCATCTTCTCCATCATCACCTTTCTCCTCCAATTCTTTGTCACCACTTTTCTTCTCGCATCTCTTTTCCACCTTCCTTTGGCTCTCCAACGCTAAAGGCCGTGTCACACTAGCACTTTTTCCGTCAATTTTTTTTAACATAAATATAAACATTCTCGAATATAGCTCTTAATTTGACTATGTTTGACTTAAAAAAGTTGACGGAAAGGTTTTCAGACGGAAACGATCATTATACTCTGACTAGGAAATCGACAATTCGCTAAAAAAATGGAGAACATTTCAGAAAATTGTTCAAAAAAATCGGACGGAAAAAGTGCTCGTGTTGACAGCACCTTAAAAAGGATTCAGATCGACGGAAATCCCTCTCCACCTTTCCGCCTTTCTCTTGCGGAAAAGGGAAGGAAGGAACGTGGCACCAAGAAGAAACACTTTTTTTTTTTTACTCTCCCGTCTCTCCTTGCAGGCCGTGAGGTACGCCAAGAGCCTCATCGAGTTCGGGCTCAGGGCTCAGGATATTGGAATTATCACGCCCTACAGAAAGCAGTGGTGAGGGCGGCCTCGGGGACATGGCCAGGTGGTGCTCTTGCGGGCTTGGCTGTTTTACTGTTTATTATTATTGATAATGATAATGATAATGATAATAAAAAAGGATAATGAAGGATAATATTAAAAATATCATTGCTAATTCTTTATTTTATTTTTCTTTTATCGCCCCTCTCTCTCTCTTGTCCGTCTCTGCGTTCCACCTCTCCCTTTCTCCCCTTCCTCCTCTCATCCCCCTTCCTCTTTCTCCTTCTCCCCCCCCTCTCGCTCTCCCTCCCACTCCCCCCTGACCCCTTTCCCTCTATCTCCGATTTACCTCTACTTCCTCTACCCTTCCCCATTCCGTCCTCTCCCTCTCTTCCTTCTCCCTTCCTCTCCCTCTCTCACTCCTCTCTCTCTCTCTCTCCATCTCCCTTCCTTTCCCTCTCTCACTCCTCTCTCTCTTCCTTCTCCCTCCTTCCCTCCTCCCCCCCCCCCTGCATGACCTCAGGTGGAGAAGATCCGCGTGCTGTTGGTGACGTTCGGGCTGGCGGAAGGGGTCAAGGTGGGGTCCGTGGAGGAGTTCCAGGGTCAGGAGAGGAAGGCCGTCGTCGTGTCCACGGTCAGGTCGTCGTCGGAGCTGGTAGAGGTCAGCGTCGAGGTCAAAGAGCCTACCTTGTTTTTTTTTCTTTTTGTTTTTAATCCGGTTTCCAAGAAGAAGATCTGTTGAGGTTCATAAAGGGATCCTTTTTTTTTTTTTTTTTTTGTTTTGTTTTAGAAGTCTTCTCCGGTTTACATTCCTCTTTGTATTGGCTATATATATTTTAACCAGATGTTTTAAGGCCTGTTTCCCTCTGTTTTTTTATCTCAATTTTACCCCCTTCTCCATGTTTAGAATCTTCTAATACTTTGCTTTCTATTTTAGAAATGTTTTGGATATTCTTTTGAAATCCTAATTGAACTCTTTCATGCTCTATCGCACACCTCTCTCTCTAAAAATAATCCAACATCATCCCTTCCTTCCTTCCCCGCAGCTGGACTTGCAGCACAGCCTGGGCTTCGTGCAGTGCCGGCGCCGCTTCAACGTGGCCGTGACGCGAGCGCAGTCCGTCCTGGTGCTGGTGGGGAACCCGTGGCTGCTGCGGCGGGACGAGTGCTGGCGGGAGCTGATCGCCTTCTGCGTGGCCAGGGGCGCCTACCGCGGCCCGGACCTCGACGCCGCCGCCGCCGACGAGCAGGCGCGGTAGCCGAGGGGAGGGCGGGGGAGGAGGGCCTGGCACGCGCTCGCTCTGTCGGATTATTTTTTCATTTCTTCCTTTTATTTTTGTTGGGTTTATCTTCTTCATTGGTTAGTTTTGTCTCAAACCTTACTTAAGGAAATTGAAAGCAGTTTTTGTAGCGTAAATTGGTGACGGTGTGATCTTCCATTCTGGGTTCTCTCTCTTCCCACCAGATTCTCTTTTTTGTCAGACAAAGACCAGTGATAAGTCGTCTATAAGTTTTATTAATGCCATGTTATTCTTTCTTTGTGGACTGAATGTTTTCGATGCAGATTTAAGTTGAATCGACGAAAAGTTTCTTTCGTGAACATAGAGCATTATGTTTTCGAGTCCGAAAAGTATTTTGTAGTTTGTTTACTCTTAATGAAGGGGTTGCATGTGACGTGTATTTTGGGCCTACATCAGCGACAGTAAGAAGGCATACAACTAAAACCATACACAATCAGTTCATTACCTTAGATCGTTGTGCAAAATAAGAAAAAAATGCATCCTTATTATTTGAATATTAAATTGATCATTATTTTGTTTTCTTCGTAAGTTATTGGAAACCTCGGCCGCCTCTTCGTCTGTGCCAGTGGCCAGTGCGTGCTCGAGGGGGAGGTTAAGGTCGACCTCGAAATTTACCCCGTGGAAAGATGAGTTTCTTTTTATTTCCCGCCTCTGTATTTTCATGAAAAGTTTTGTAATGCGTTATCTGTGATGATTTTCATATCGGAATAAAAGATAATGATTATTTGTTGTTTGAATGCCTTTTGCGGCGGACGTTGGGCATAGGGATTGAATTTTGTGTCTGAAGAGGAATCTGAAGTGAATAATGCATAATTTGATTGTTGGGTAAATTGCAGCAAATTTCACCCTATAGTTCTCATTTGAAAATGAGAACTATAAGATTAATGGATATTGTAAAACTTCAAGACGAGACGGAGGAAGTAAAGGGAAAACGCTTAGCATGAAGGAAAATTGCCATAAGGAAAACACAAAACTGGACGAAAATGGACCATCTATCATTATTAATTATCAAAACTAAGTGTGCATTGCATGTGTACAGATTTACGCACCAAATACATAACTATATGCTGTGAGGAAAAGCAATAATAACCGTTAATTAATTATTAATTAATAGTACCAAGGTAAAAAAAAACGTTTATTTCTAAAGATACTCTCATTCAAAACCCAGCCACGTGGAATAAAGCGTATGCCTCTATTTAAATTAATTATGATGCAATATGTTTCCTTTTTTTTAAGTGACACTTTTACATTAGTAATATTGTTCCTATTTTGTGACATTGTTTCATTAAGAACTAGCTTGCTTTGTAATCCTGTAAGGTAACAGTAACGCAGTACTGCTACTACTTGTACAATACCGGGACAATTCCAGGTCAGTGTCCCTCGGAGATCTGTTCACCTTCCTTTTTACCTTAAATCACCACATGCGAGCACCACCTGGCCACCCCCCCATATTTGCACAAGTATTTCAGAAATTCAATAGTTCATATCCAGCAATACTTTACGCTGAACTTTGTTATCACTAATTAGCCGGGGGAAATCATGAACAATTCGCTGCTTGCTTGTTTGTTTATTTTCGTCTTAGACCCTAGCTTACAAGTTTACCCTTCTTGCACCAGTCACTAAAGTATAAAATAAATCAGTGGTGATTTCCCTGTAAAATACACAATGATGGCCGTGACCTTACGTGTAGCAGCGGGGTCCGAACAGGAAGGAGGCGAGACCAGATCTCCCGGTAATGGTACTACCCCAAAAGTACCAGGGGGTATCAGCGCCCTCTACCGGGGTATCGTGTACTCTCGTGGACACTCGTGAGTGGCTGCATTGTCACGGTTTATGACGTCACTAATGACGTAGCAAAACACTAGCGTGACGTCACTAGCAGACGCCAAACAAATACTTGAATGTATCTATAAACATTGTAAATTCGTGACAATCCTCCTGGTAGATAGTGTCCTCACATGATTTACTGGGCATATAAGAGACAATAAACATAGCATGTACGTAGCTAAGCCCACGTACGTTTGCTTACAATAATTACGGGCGGTACCCCGCATTCCCACCACGAAGGATAAATACACATGATAAAAATAGGGTATATACAAGGAAAATAAAACAATGCTGACAGTAGTTCTCGGTGCCCATTTTCCAATGGGTTCACTGAATCCGACTCGTACCATGGACTCCGTCATACCAAAGGGGGGGGGGGTACCGTGGTAGGACAAGGAGTGGGCGAATAGTCCCACTACAACCCTCCCGGGCCCTGGGTCGTATGGTCCGATAGTTCAGCGGACCTACGACCTCCCCATGCACTTCAGGCCTTCTCATCTCACACCAGAGCCGAGGGGTCGCCTTCTCTTCTCGCGCTAAGGCTAAGGGGTTGCCTGGGGCTCATAATCGGTATAAATATATACATGAACATCATAACTGGAAAGAGAACATAAGGTCAGCATGGCATATATGTAGGTTACAAGGAGTCACCGAATGATGCATTTTAACTTTTGACTGGGCAAGGTGGTCCACAAGCATTACAAACGTAATCTAAAACTTGACAGAAAAATGTAAAACAAATTAAAACCAATACAATATCAAAAAAATTAAAAATTAGAGAAAAAAATAATACAGAATTCAAGACATTGAAATTAAGAACAAAAACAAGACATTGAAATTAAGAGAGCACAAGTAAAACATAAAACATGAAAATTAAGAGAACAAAAATTAAAAGAATAAAAGACACCTACCGACTCGACAATGAGCGACTGAGCAAGCACACCACAGTACACCTTCAGTCACGCCATCTCATTCATTCCTCCCAAACCTCGTAGTCACTGTAATCATTGTTCGTTCTGTGCTCATTTCTGCACCAGAGTAAAGGAAATGATCACTAGGAAACCTGTTCAGCGGTTCCGAATTACTAAATTCGTCTTCCGTCCGGTCATACCCGAAACATCAGCACACGTACAGGTGCTGCTGCTACGTCCGGGGGACGGCCTGGCAACGGACCGTCAACACCTGGAGGTTCAGAAGGCAGTCTGTCTCCAACCTCAACATAATCTAGTTCAGCAGGAGGGAGATACATTTTCAACTGATCTCTGTGCTGCTTCACTATACGATAAGGGGGCTGAAGGTCTTTAACCTCGAATACAACGGGACCTATTTGCTTGATCACTCTACAGGGACCTTGCCATCGGTCCTGTAACGCCCCTCCGGTAAAGTCCCTACGGAGGACGAGCGCACCTTCCTCCGGCTGCCAGGTAGAGCGAACTTTCCGATTGTGCGCCTGTGCATTGGCCTCTCTGGAACGGAGAGAAGCAGCAATGGCAAGCTGCCTGGCCTTAGCCAGCTGTTGCACCCTGAGATTAGTGTCCGTCGTTACTTGGTTGGTGAGTCCCCTGGGAAACAAGGCCATCTTCCCAGTAAGGAGGTAAAGAGGCTGGTCCCCCACCGAGCGATGTATGGCTGAATTTATGGCTAGCCTTACGGAGGTCAGATATAGCGGCCACCTCCCTGGTTTATCAGCCACAAGCATAGCAAGGGCATCCTTCACAACCCTGTTTGTCCGTTCAACTAAACCATTTGAACTAGGATGATATGCTATGGTGAACGAACATCGTATCTCCAGCTGTCTACACACTTCCTGCCACTGTTCATTAGCAAACTCGCCCCCATTGTCTGTCATTATCTGTCGGGGTGGTCCAAAAAGGGTTATAAAGTGATCATAAAATCCCCGAAGAACCGTTTCTGCTGTCTTATTCCTGAGTGGAACGAGCTGCAAGTACCTGGAGTGGTGATCCACTATTGACAGAACATATCGATAGCCACCCACGGAAGCTCGGAGATCCATGAGATCTGCGGACACAAGCTCCAATGGGCCACTGGGTGGTGGACGACACTGCATCTCGGCACGTTCACGTGAACCTTTCCTGTGCTGACAAGCTGTACAGTGCTGCACGTACCATTTGCATAGCCGGAACATGTTTGGAAAGAAGTAGCTATTTTGCAAATTGTGGTATGTACGTAGAGCACCAGGGTGAGCTGCAGTAGGATGGTCATGAGCAAGATGTAAGGCTTGCGACTGCAGCGAATGAGGAACACATACCTGCCTGATAATTCGATCTGGCAAAGATTTCAGGTGATATAAAACTCCATCATCAAGTTCAAATTCGTGAAGGGATGCTGGCAAGGCCCTTCTAGGAAGTTTCTTACCCTCTAAGAATTCTATGATCTCCTTCCAGAGGTCCTCTTTCAACTGGTACTCTCGTAACACAGCAGAGGCGAGAGTGGCAAGGTTGACAGGAGTGTCCGAGTTTACACTATGATTCTCATTAACAGCAAGGGCCTCATCTTGTGAGCATGGCAGAGAGTCTATAAAAGGCCTCGACAGCAAGTCAGGAACATAATTTGATGGACCAGGTTTATATACTAGTTTAAAATCATAAAAACTCATGGGCAAACCTGCTCATACGAGGCGACTTTGTTTTGCGGGAGAACACATAGGTGAGAGGGCGATGGTCAGTGTATATAGTAAATGGTCTCCCATACACATAAGGGTCGAATACCCGAACAGCCTCTACTACAGCAAGAGCCTCAAGATCTATGGCAGGATATCGAGACTCCGCATCTTTCAACGTCCTCGACCAATATGAAACAGCCTGGGGCTCTCCATTATCACTGCGCTGAAGAACTGCGCCGAGAGCTTGGGCAGAAGCATCTGTATGAATTTCAAAATGTCGCTCAAAGTCAGGCAGACGCAAAATGGGAGCCGAAACAAGGGCGTCTTTAAGATTTTAAAGGCTTCTCGCTTCTGGTGACCATGTGAATGACACCCCTTTCTTAGTAAGTTGTGTCAATGGACGGGCAACAGTGGCAAAACCCTGTATGTGTCGCCGAAAGAACCCACATGCCCCCAGAAAGCGGCGAACCTCACGTACAGATCTGGGACGTTTCATATCATTAATGACCTGAACCTTAATGGGATTGGGTAACACACCATCAGGGCTTACAACAAAACCAAGGAACTCTATCTGGTGTTTGGCAAATAAGCACTTAGCAAGATTAAGTTTCATACCAGCCTCATCTAACAGTGCTAGAGTTTCAGCAAGATTATTTAGATGGCTTTCAAATGTCTTACTGGCCACAACTACATCATCCAGATACGCTAGCGTGTGTCTCCCAAGCACACTTGACAGCACAACATTCATCGTCCTCTGGAATGTAGTTGGGGCCGTGGATAACCCAAAGGGCATTCTTTGAAACTGGAAGAGGCGTGCTCCATCAGTAAAAGCTGTTTTTGGCCTATCTTCCTCAGCTACCTCTATTGCCCAATATGCTGCTCTACTGTCCAGTACGGTATACCAAACATTGCCTGTCAAACTGTCTATGACCTCGTCGATTCGAGGTAAGGGATAACTATCAGCAGCAGTGACATGATTCAAGCCCCGGTAGTCAACACAAAAGCGAACTGTCCCATCCTTTTTCCTTACTAGGACTACCGGAGAGAGCCAGGGTGACGTGGAAGGCTCAATAACCCCTTGCTTAAGCATTGTGTCACACTCTGAACGTATCAGCTCCTTGGTTGCCTGAGGAAGACGCCACTGCCTAACACACAGGTTGATCTGTTTTAGTCACAATGTGGTGCTGTATACCAGGCACCTTACCGATAGTTGCTTTGTCCCCAGAAAAGAGTCGAGGAAACTTATTCAAAACTTTACCGAGTTCCTCTTGCTG